AACAGAAACTCAAAATTCAGCAATTTTTCTATTTGTAAACACGCATAACTCTAGAACGGTTGTGTATAAGTTTTATAATATTTGGTTGAAACAAACTAAAGTTAGAGAGCGGAAACGAAAAATTCAGCAATTTTTATGTTTATAAAGGGACATAACTCAAGAATGGTAAAAGTGTCGCCACCAAATTTCGTACTTAATCTGTATTATGTAGTAATAAGCATTGTGTATAAGTTTCATAACATTTGGTTGTGGCAAACTAAAGTTAGAAAACGGAAACAAAAAATTTGTACTTGATCTTAGTTTTGTGGTAATGAATATTGTGTATAGGTTTCATAATGTTTGGTTGGGGCAAACTTAAGTTACAGAATGGAAATTAAAAATTTAGCAATCTTTCGATTTATAAAGTGGCATAACTCAATAATGGTTAAACTTGTATAAAACTACGTATTTCAATAAATTATTTTGTTATCCATCTTCCCTTTGAGGTGTCTTTTTTGGTTTCGTACAACTGAGTAAAACAACCAGTGCTAAATGAGTTAAGTTACAATGCACTTTAGAAAATACATAGTACACTTGGTAAGTTGGTATGGTTTCAATTATTATTTTCAAGCATTTGTGACCCAAGCTGAGTAGGGGTTTATTCTCTTGATGAATGCATAAAAGACTTTTTATGCGCATAGTACGTACACAATGTATTAAAATACATAAGCACTTATAATGAAATAATGATTTCTTTGAAAATAAAATTAGTTAGTTTTTTATATTAAATGTCATGAAATATTAACTTGAACATGTTGAATAAATTGTTTACTGCCAATATATCATTTCTAGAATAAACCATAGAAATAAATTTTAAATAAATATTTGTGTACATTATATATAAATTATATAGGTACAGCATTAAAAATAAAATGCTCCGCAGGGCGCAGCTTGATACGACCGCAGAGGTCGAACCCTGAACAGTTGGGGGAAGTATGGACACAACATTCAAGCTTGATACAGCTTTGGATTTGGATTGTGATTAAATATTTGACACAGCATAGGTTTCTAACACAGATTGAATGTGGTCTAAGAACTTAAAAATTTTAAATTGGACATTCACCTATTATGGTCCAATATCCAAAATCTAAATACATGGTTAGATTCAGCATATCAAAGAACCCCAAGAATTCAATTTTTGATGAAATCAAACAAAGTTTAATTTCGGACCCTTTTGACCTCAATGTGGACAAAGTTGATAACGGGGCCCAAAAATCAAAAATCTAAATACATGGTTAGATTCAGCATATCAAAGAACCCCATATATTCAATTTTTGTTGAAATCAAACAAAGTTTAATTTTGGACCCCGATTTGGACCAACTTGAAAACTGGGCCCATAATCAAAAATCTAAATACATGTTTAGATTCAGCATATCAAAGAACCCTAAGAATTCAATTTTTGTTAAAATCAAACTAAGTTTAATTTTGGACCCTTTGGACCTTAATGTAGACCAATTTGAAAACGGAACCAAAAATTAAGAATCTAAATACACGGTTAGATTCGGCATATCAAAGAACCCCAATAATTCAATTTTTCATGAAATCAAACAAAGTTTAATTTTGGACCCTTTTGACCTCAATGTGGACAAAGTTGATAACGGGGCCCAAAAATCAAAAATCTAAATACATGGTTAGATTCAGCATATCAAAGAACCCCATATATTCAATTTTTGTTGAAATCAAACAAAGTTTAATTTTGGACCCCGATTTGGACCAACTTGAAAACTGGGCCCATAATCAAAAATCTAAATACATGTTTAGATTCAGCATATCAAAGAACCCTAAGAATTCAATTTTTGTTAAAATCAAACTAAGTTTAATTTTGGACCCTTTGGACCTTAATGTAGACCAATTTGAAAACGGAACCAAAATTTAAGAATCTAAATACACAGTTAGATTCGGCATATCAAAGAACCCCAATAATTCAATTTTTGATGAAATCAAACAAAGTTTAATTTTGGACCCTTTGGACCTCAATGTGGACCAATTTAAAAACGGGGCCCAAAATCCAAAAACTAAATACACGGTCATATTCAGCATATTAAAGAACCCCATGAAATCAAGAATAAAACCCCATTGAAATTGGTCAAGAAATAAGCAATTTATAGGAAGTATCTTCTTTTGCACAATCCTGTGCTATTAAATATTTCTTGCTATTGCGCAATACTGTACAATTGACAATTTCTTGCTATTGCGCAATATTGTGCTATTGGATATTTCTTGCTATTGCGCAATACTGTGCAATTGAAGATTTCTTGCTATTGCGCAATACTGTGCAATTGAAGATTTCTTGCTATTGTGCAATACTGTGCAATTGAAAATTTCTTGCTATTGCACAATACTTATTATATAATAATTTACACATCCTGTTTGGTGTGTATCTCCTACCATATCATTATTATTTGATTTTAAATATAAATCAGAAATAACCAACTTAAAATGGAAAATTTTAAAAGAAACAAAAAAGGAAAAAAAGAAAAAAAAGGAAAAAAAAATAAATCCCCCCCCAAAATTTTTTGAACCCCCATTATGATTCATCACCCCCAAACTCAATCCCAGCCTTCCCTTTGTGGTATGGTACCTTGCAGTACAATTTCAGAGAGATCCATACACTTGAACACAAGTTATTGTCTGGAAACTAGAAAAAAATGTGTTTTTTGGCCCCTTTTTGGCCCCAAATTCCTAAACGTTGAGGGCAATTACCCCCAAACTCAAACCCAGCTTTCCCTTTGTGATATGGAACCTTGTAGTACAATTTCAGAAAGATCCATACACTTACACACAAGTTATTGTCATGAAACTAGAAAAATGCTTGTTTTTTGCCCCTTTTTTGGCCCCTAATTCCTAAAATTTGGAGGCAATTACCCCCAAAATCAATCCCAGCAATCTTTAGTGATATGGAACCTTGTGGTACAATGTCAGAGAGATCCATACACTAACACACAAGTTATGTCTGGAAGTTACAAAAATGCTTATTTTTGGCCCCTTTTTGGCCCCTAATTCCTTTACTGTTATTACCATAACCCCCAAAATCAATCCCAACCTTCCTTTTGTGGTATTGAACCTTGTGGTAAAATTTCATAAAGATCCATTCACTTAAACTAAAGTAAGAGTGCGAAAACCAATGTGTCTTCGGACGACGCCGGACGACGACGACGACGACGACGACGACGCCGGACGACGACGACGCCGGACGACGACGACGCCAACGTCATACCAATATACGACCACAAAAATTTTTTTGCGGTCGTATAATAAATGCAATACGGTTATTTCAATAGTTCATATGGTTAAACACCGTTCTAATTAAAGTTGGAACAAATTGACCAAGCAACTTGGGACGAATTGGTTGGTACGAATCAGAGTTGGAACGAATCATCTAGATACCTTTCGAACTCGTCCAAGACATTTCTGATATAAACCTATGATATAAGTTTCATAAAAATCTGGCAAGAATTTTACACATGAGAGCGCTAACAAGATCGGACGGACGCCCGGTATTTCCATGTCCTCCGCAACGCGTTGCGCGGGGGACAAAAAGACAGAAAAGAGCTACATCAAAAATTATACTGACCAGTCTGTATATTGGAGAAAATGTATTTATGCATCCCTTGTCAAGTGCATAATCTCTCAAACATTTTAGAAAATTAACAGGCAGTGAAAAAAGAATAGTTCTAATGTAATGTAACCCTAGCGGATGATGAAGATGTGAAAGAAGGTCATCAAAGCTCCCAGAGGGCGATCTTGATTTGGAAGACTTTTTTACATTGGGCCGATGGTAATGTTTTTGCCCATGACTACGCTGGTGTCTTAAAGTACATTTTGTAGTATTAAATAAGCTCATTACATTTACATCACTGCAGGCTGGACTTCGACAAATTTCCTACTCCTTTGATGTTATCAATGCAACCATACGGCATTGCATTACCTAGTTCCCTTATCTAAAAATTTTCTCTTATCTTTTTGGAAAGGAGTACTTAGTATAGGGCTATTGGTGTGGTGATAAATTCTCTCGATGATGCGTACTTTCATAGATAAAGAAGGATCATGGTTCGGTTGATTAAAATGGTTATAAAGAACCCTAAATTGCGGATCTTTATCATCAGACCAGTGTTAATTCATCCTTTTACGCAAAGTTTATTGAGTTTCACCAACATAAAGTAGTCCATACACACTGACTGATCTTTAAAATAGGGAGTTATTTTTCGAGTGAACAGATTTATGATGAAGATTATTGCCCAAGTTGATGGCATCGAGACCTTTGTTGGCAAAGGAAAGTTTAAGAAAGGATCTGTTCTCCTTTTCATATTTTCCAATGCGAACTGGTTTAAAAAGTCTGTTACTTGCAATATCCGAAATGATAGCTGTAAGTTTGTATTGGTTTGAATGAGGGTTTGTAACAGTTGTTTCCAAACAAGTTGTACAGAAAATGAAGTTTTGAAAGGGGTAATGAATAAAGCTACGTGCTAATGTGATGAATACCTAACGGCTTTTGTATAAATGGCAGCAGGTCATTAATAGAGACATCATGGAGGGTAGGTGATGTACCATGACCATGACTGTGTCTACGTCGAGTTGTAGAGTTGAAAATGTTCATCACATTCACCGAGCTACAGGAAGGACTAGATAGAATACCTATACCATCAATTTTGTCATTGCAATCATATGGTGTCGCAGTTCCCAATTGTCGAATCCAGTAGACTTCTTTTTGTCTAAGGAAACATTGACTTCTGTCACATTTGATGAGATGAACAAGTTATTTATATTTCAATCTGGTTTTACAAAGTTGTCACCAAAGGTGCTAAACAGGCAGACTAATCTAATTATTTATAAATCTTATGTCACAAATTTGTAGGTTGAAACATAACTTCAGGATATTTTAGTTGACAATTGCTTGCCCTGTAGGTCAAATGACAGAAATAGATAATACTGCATGTAAGCAGTATATAATAAAACACAATTGCAGTATTTTAGAAAGTTTATTAAAAACATATCTAATTAACAACATTATAAAAATCAACATATAAACTGATACAATATAAATCAAAAAAAGCAATAATTTGTGTATAAATATAGCTTAGTCTTTAAGTATTTCAAATCAAAAATAATAATTTTACTGACTAATAACTGATTATTTCTTAATTGAAATATTTATTACAAAAATGATGGTTTCATTTTGGCTGCTTGACATTTAAATGGAAAATATTACATGAATATCCAGGATGAGAAAAAAATTGCAACTATGCCAAGAGGTATGTGATGAAAGTCTTGATAATCAGGAGAACATGCAGAAAAGTTTCACTGACACTGAAAAGCAACTGGAATGGAATTGAGCAAATTAAAAAAAAAGTATAGCCTAAACATTAGCTACCTACAGACCTCTCCAAAAAACATTGTTGTCTATCTATTTTCTAAATTGTTTTACAAACTTTAAAGCATGGTATTTCTGTTTTACTAAAAGCCGTCTTCTTTGCAAGCATTAGGCAACCATGACAAAATACAACAGAAAAATTCCTTCTAAAAGCATGAACTCAAATAATTTGACATTAAGGATGATGATCCTCATTTAGTCTTATTTCGAGAGAATATATACATACACCATGTATGTTTTGCTGGCAAAATTTCTTTTTCCTTTTGTACTTCTACCAGTACTCATAACAAATTAACTCAATATTTGAATAATCAGCCAACAAACAGTTGGCAATTTCTGTTATAATATCATCTAAATCGCTGTAGTATTACCATTTAACTCAATCAGATTAAAATACAAAACATTGAAGACTATCGTCAATAACTGGTGAAAACTGCTATTATAAGGTAATAGTTACGATACAATCTTTTAAACCACTAACAGCAAGACTTGACTATGTTTTCCAGGTATCAACCTCAAGGACAAAGATCAGATGAATGGTGATTGTAAATGAATAACATAAAAAGAAAGTATAAAATTTAATTTTTCCATTTAACTGCTCATTCGTTGCTTTAGATTAAAAAAAAACCAAGACATACAAATGGATTGATTGTTGGATTTGAATGCATTTTCAGCCTATATACAGTATCAATGCATGACACTGATCTCTGGGCAATCCTAAATACAGTATCAATGCATGACACAGATCTCTGGGCAAACCTAAATACAGTATCAATGCATGACACTGATCTCTGGGCAAACCTAAATACAGTACCAATGCATGACACTGATCTCTGGGCAAACCTAAATACAGTATCAATGCATGACACTGATCTCTGGGCAAACCTAAATACAGTATCAATGCATGACACTGATCTCTGGGCAAACCTAAATACAGTATCAATGCATGACACTGATCTCTGGGCAAACCCAAATACAGTATCAATGCATGACACTGATCTCTGGGCAAACCTAAATACAGTATCAATGCATGACACTGATCTCTGGGCAAACCTAAATACAGTATCAATGCATGACACTGATCTCTGGGCACAATTGTTTCTGGAATAAGGAATAATAACCTCAATCCGTATATTCAAGGCAAAAGTCTATAGAAACCAAATTCTAGCAAGTTGACAGGTATATTTACTGCACAGTGTCTTCTATATATGTACAGTAGTAACCTTGATGGATGCAAACAATCAAATCACTTTATCAAAATGATAGCCAACATCAGTATAAAACTTAGTTTGTCTAAATGTATATAATACCGCAGTAAGTGATTAAAGGGGCATTAGCTAGGAGATATAAAAAAAATAAAATATGATTTTTTTTGTTCTATCATTACTGAAAGTGAAATAGTGATATAATAATTCGCTTTTAACAGCCAGTTTGGTTCAGTTTTGTCAAAACAAGCAAAGAACCATCGCTAATGAATTATTCACTTGCAAGTGAGTAATTCGACCTCATTGAATCTGTATTCATGTGAACTTTAATTGAACCCTATATCTAGAGATGGCTTACGCATGAACTAGGCGTGTTCAGTTATTAAATGAAAAAGAATGTAAACATTGGAAGTGAGACAAGGTAAACCATTTGGTTGACTGATTCGATCTAGAAAAACTCATTTTTATACAGGTAAAAACGATTATTAACATATTTTTTTAACAATAATATGAAATCAAACAGACCTAGAAAAATCCAATTGCACGAGTTCGCAATCTATTTATATCTATGTTCATGTTCAGCAGTCTTCGGAGGTCACCTCGATGGTTAATTAGATGGTTATTTTAGACTTTTTATTATTTGGATATGCATTTTAGTTTGTTATAAGTCGAATGTAAGAATTTGAATCAAATCGGTGAACCTGAATTTGACAGCTAATGCCCCTTTAACATGTATTCATAGTAAAAAGGACTTGCAATCATATGTCATATATTCTACAAAAAAAAATATATATAATAATCAAAAGATAATGCAAATCAGTGTAAAAAATATGATTCAAAATAACTGAACCGGTATAATCAATATACCTCGATATTTATAATATATTATATCACTAAACAGGAAAGACAATAGTAATGTGTAACCTCTCATAGATGGTAATATGGCATATAGCTGCATACACAAATATATCGCTCAAGCAAATACACAAGAATAAATACAAAGGTCAAATTATATTTTAAATATTTAACTAGTTGTAAAAATAAAAATGCCATAGCACTTACAATCTTGCTGTATAGCATAAAATGGTTTAGTACACATTATTATAATTCTAATAAAAGCCATTTGGCTTAGTCAGCTTGCATAAATTTCCAAATTTATAAGTTTTCTGTCAAAATATTAAGGGAGGGCATCTAGTCAACCAGAATTTTATAATTTAAAAATATAATATTGTAGTTATAAGCAATTTTTTTTTTTTTTTTTGGCTCCAAACTGCATCTTTGTAAATTGTAAATTAAAAAAGTATGAAATATATATTGCATTATTGAATCATAATTTGGTAAAAAAAAAATATGTAACAATCTTGGGTATTTCCATGACAACACAGTATGATTTATGAACAATTTCTTGCAATTTTATCTTATCATTCCAAGTTAACAATATTTATAAAATATTACTATTGAATGATAAGTTTGTGTAAAATTTCATACAAAAAAAACAGTTACAAAAATACAAAAACAACATGTGGTATGACCTTAAATGACATCTCATCATTAATGAAACCAATGAAACTTGACTTTTAGCTTTTTTTCAATCATACAAAATAACAACCATTTTTCGCCCAATCAAAGATTTGTTTTGTAAAATGACCAAATGCTATTGTTAAATTTAATATTTCTTGCTATTGCGCAATACTGTGCAATTGAAGATTTCTTGCTATTGTGCAATACTGTACTATTGCGCAATACCATGCAATTGAAGATTTCTTGCTATTGTGCAATACAGTGCTATTGCGCAATACTGTGCTATTGCGCAATACTGTGTTGTTGCGCAATACTGTGCAATTGAAGATTTTTTGCTATTGCGCAATACTGTGCAATCGAACACTTCTTGCTTTTGCCCAATACTGTGCTATTATACAATACTGTGCTATTGCGCAATACTGTGCAATTGAAGATTTCTTGCTATTGCACAATACTGTGCAATTTAAGATTTCTTGCTATTGTGCAATACTGTGCCATTGAAGATTTCAAAATTTTGAAGAAAAAATTAACCCTCCAAAAAAATTGGAAAAAAAAATCCCCCCAACTTTTTGATTTGATTTTTGGTGTTTTAACGTCACTTTTAAGCACCACTTTTGGGCTATTTCGTGGCGGCCAGTTTTATTGGTGGAGGAAGCCAGAGTGCCCTGAGAAAACACCAACTTTTTGAATTATTGTCTGGAAACTACAAAAATGATTGTTTTTGGTCACTTGTTTGCCCCTAATTCCTAAACTGTTGGTACCATAACCCCCAAAATCAATCCCAACCTTCCTTATGTGGTATTGAACCTTCTGATAAAATTTCATAGAGATCCATTCACTTAAACTAAAGTTATTGTCTCAATTGTCCTTTAACCAGAAAAACCCTTGTTGTTCCCCTTTTTTTGCCCCTAATTCCTAAATGGTTTGAGCCATAACCCCCCAAAGTCAATCCTAACCATCCCTTTGTAGTATGGAAACTTGTGGTATAATTTCAGAGAGATTCATACACTTTAACACAAGTTATTGTCTGGAAACTACAAAAATGCTTATATGGGCCCCTTTTTTGACCCCTAATTCCGAAACAGTTGGGACCATAACCCCCAAAATCAATCCCAACCTTCCTTTAGTGGTTATAAACCTTGTGTTAAAATTTTATTGATTTCTATTTACTTATACTTAAGTTATTATCCGGAAACCATCTGTCTTCTGACGACGCTGACGAAGGTGACAACGTGATACCAATATACAACCAAAAAATTTTAATTTTTGCGGTCGTATAAAAAAAATCAGCAGTTTTTAGCAAAAATTAGAACATGGAATCATTTGCATATTGTGGCCATACTCAAGCTTTTTTCATACCATATACAGTGTATGCTAATTTAAACTGTAGGCATGTTATGTTATTTACTGAAATTAGCACTGTTTTTATAATTTTAAATGGGTCAGATTACAAAATTTCTTAATTGATCATGTACTATTTAATTTCATTTCCTAATAACAGCGTTACATTATTATTGTTGTTATCATTATTATTGTTATTGGAATAGATGAGTCTTTTTTAAAATATCAAATGATATTTTTCCTGAAAATTTGCTGTTTTCATCTATAAATAAACAATAGTCAGTTTAAAGTTTGAACAAAATTTAACCACTGAACAGGTGAAGTCACTTCATGGACCTTTCATAGGTAAATCCATCAAGGTAGATTCTTACAGGTTCAGTGAGATTTAAATCTGGCAACTGGTCAATTTAAATGTCCCAATTGTATTGTCAATTTTAAAATCTGGTTGAACAATAGGTAAAGGTAAACAGTAACACCTATAGTCAAGTCATAGTAAATAGCAGAATAAAGTTTTAGTCAAAATTGAAGTAAAATGTTAAATTAAAGCATGTGCCGACATTATCACTAACAAAGACTTAAAGACAAAGGTCTGTTTGCGTAGATTTTAAAATGCTTATGCAACAAAACATGATATTACAAGGAAGCTTTGATTGTCATATGTCATGTACATAGTACATAAAGGATGTTTAGAAGGACATACATCTGTTGAAGCATCAAAAGGACGTGGAAACTTGCTGAGGTATATTAAAGAAGAAAACATTTTACGGACTTTTTACTAATACCAAAAACTCATTTAAGAACAGTTGGCACTAACAACAGATCAAATCACAGTAAATATGATTATGAAAGTATTAAATTAAGTAGATTAAACTACGCAAAGAGTATTGCACAACTAATGGAGTATAAAAAGTTTCATTCATCTTACAGTAAAAGAAATTAAGATTACAAAATGTTGCCCATAACATTACAAAGTACGGTGGTTATAAGTACAAGTCACTATCTTAGGTATTTAGAAACTATGGAAGTATACCTGTTAAGCCCTCATATTTGACTTAGTCAGTCATAAAAAAATTTTAATATTTAAAATAATTAAATTTTTATCAATGTCAATTCAACAATTTATGAAAAAGAACTTTTGGCCATTGCAGTTCTACATTTAATTGATAAGAAAATAGAATCAATATATTAAACAGATATTACTACAAAACAATCGATAAATAAATTCTATATTGCTTTTAATATTTGATTACTAAGCTTTCACATTACTCTGTTTGGCTCATCTGGCTTGTAGACTATCAAATTTTTGAACTGTTTCTCAGACCTTTAGACTATTAGGCCTTGCATTCCCTTCTCTAACAATTAGTTTCTAATTACTTGGCTGAATGACTACCCATCTAATCTTCAAAATACCAGGCCTTGGAACTGTATATTAGACCTTCTGATTACTATGTTGACTGCATTAATGAATTACCGGTACTGGATTTCATCAAGTAGAGAGAAGAAATCTTAAAAAAATATATTGAGGTAGCTATACTGGTTCATGCTGAAATGAAGTTCTCTTAATATCCAATACTGACTACATGTATATTATCTTCCATGGTTGAGTTCTATCACAATTTTTTCAAAGGCGACCCATATCACAGACAACATGCTACTTTTTGCGATCACATACCAAATTAATATTACATATCATACAGTTATCTGTGATTCTCTGTTGGTCATAATCTCGACAGAGCTGTTTTCTCCTTCAATCTGGAGATAATCTGTTTGTGACACTGTGTCTGCATGTGATGTCCTACATTTTGATGACAGAAGTGCATAAAGTAAAATTAGAAAAGCCTGAAAAAAAAATGTTTATTTGCTAATAAATCTAGATATTTTATTTACCCTTTATCATGGCTATATCTTTTTGAAAGCAATTTTTTTTAGAGGATTAAAAGTCAAATGAGGCATATTAGAAAGCTGTAAATAAACAAATTCTGATTATTACGATTGTTGAATGATCAACAAATATGAAAGATTAATTTTGTTTTAAGCAAATGCTGCATACAAATTAATGTTATACGAATTCATAATATGAGTTTTAATTTTTGTAAAACTTACTTGGATGCAATTTGGCAAAATAAAATACATTGCAAAAATTTTTTTCTGAATTTACAGTAGCTTCTGAGAACTGAAACCTCAATCTAGAGGAATAATTCATTTAAGGTCAAGTTATACTTACAGCAAATAAAAACAAACCAGCTACCCCAGTGGATCCCCATTTGAATCCAAAGGCATCAACAAAAGCGCCACCTGCAGTTGGTCCTAAAAATGCCCTGTAAAACAAGACAACTATTGCATGATCTAGAACATATACTGAAGATGACAAAGAAATTTAGCTTTTTTAGCCTGGATTGTTTAGTTTTTGGTTGATAGTGAAAGGTGAAGAGGATGAATGCTTTTCAGAAAGGGACCCTTTATTTATATAAACTTAGTGATCGTCAGAAAGGGACTCTTTATTTATACAAACTTAGTGACCGTCAGAAAGGGACCCTTTATTTATACAAACTTAGTGATTGTCAGAAAGGGACCCTTTATTTATACAAACTTAGTGACTGTCAGAAAAGTACCTGATTTTGTGGCTTATGATAATGTTACAGAATTCTGAGGGGTATTACTTTTACCTATTGGTTTCTGTGTCCCTGTCACTTAGTGAACCAAAAGCTGAACTTTCATTAGTTGAAACCACATCAATTATGTGTAGAAGTAGAAAAAAATATGATGTAACCTACTTTTAATTTGTCTTGGATTAGATTAATCTATACTGCTGGGCTCCTAAATGACCTATTTGTTACAGAAATTTCATTGGTTCAGACATTACTGACTCGGTATTAAAGTCTCAAGATGATGCTAAGACTGCTCAAAGTAGTTTATCAGGATGGAAATTGAATTACTGATTGGTGCATTTAAATCAAGGTAAAACAAGCATCAAGGTAAACTGAACATTTATCTCCTATTACTTCTGTTGTATTTGATTGTATAAAAAATTCAAACTTGATCTCTGTTTTGTGGTAATAAGCATTGTGTATAAGTTTCATAACATTTGGTTGAGGCAAACTAAAGTTAGAGAACAGAAACGGAAAATTCAGCAATTTTTCCCATTTGTAAAGGGCGCAACTCTAGAACGGTTAAAGTGATGCCACGAAAATTCAAACTTAATCTGTGTTTTGTGGTAATAACCATTGTGTATAAGTTTCATAATATTTGGTTGAGGAAAACTAAAGTTAGAGAACGGAAACCAACTTTGGGACGTACGTACAGATGGACTAGGGTAAAACTTAATGCCCCCTCCGCTACGGCGGGGGCATAGGCGAGGGCATAAAAATCATTTACCTTCATATTGCACTTAAATTCTTTAAAGAATTTTACATTGTTCAATTTCTGAACAAATCTTTTTTGTTTATTTCTTAATATTGCCTTATTTGCTTAATTTATCGTTTTTAGTTTCAAATGAATAAGTCGAAATGGAAATAAATTGAGGTGGCGATAAATGTACAAGTAAGTGATGAATAGTGACTAGTGAAAGACTTACTGTAACTACATGTATTAACATACCCTAATGAGAATAATGAATTAAAGTATCCTGACACTATACCATGGGTATCCATGTTTTCTGGCATTCCAATTTCTCTGAAACAGAAAAAAAAAATGAATATAATTGTGCCTTTATGAAACATAAGTACAAACACAAAACATTTGATGCTATAAATAAAAATACATTAAGAGCTTAATTGACTTAGAAATTGCTAGATATAGAAATTAAATTTAAATGACTTGATACCTGTGAATGATCAATTGAAATTTACCACTACAAGAAATTTAATACAATATTTCTCCGCTTGAAACAGTCTTGCAAATTTTTTTTTTTAAATAAAAGAAGAGATTTCCAATGTCCCCTTTGTTACACATATTTTGTCTGTCCAAGGCCAAATATTAAAATTTTGTTTTTGTTTTTTTAGTTCTTTACAAACTTTTTTTAAATATCTTAGTTGTAAGAAATGTAGGCTGGAGACCGCTAACAATGCAATTTTCAATATGATTAATTTTTCTAAGGGCATAACTCTTAAAAATAGTTGATCTGCACTGATTTTTTAATTGTCTGAGACATTGCTGATATTAGTTTGATAAACATCTGACAAGAAGTGTACACATGAGAATGCTTACAATGCTAAATTCCATATAAATAATATTTTCAAGGGGCATAACTCTTTTAAAAATAGTTGAATTTTAGAATTTGTCTAAGACATTGCTGATATAAACATGATAAAGCTGGTTAAGTATCAAATTTATTATCAGTTTGACATTAGTAACCTGATAGATTTCAAGGATCTACATGATCAGTTCAACTGAATATGGACAGAGAACTATCTACAACTATATGAGGGTGTGGATGGGGGTTTACAGAATAGAGAATAATTGGCAAAAATTATAAAGAACAGTGAAAAATGGACCAAAGAAATAAAGAATAGAGAATAATGGGCAAAAAATATAAAGAAAAGAGAAAAATAGCCTAAAAAATTATAGAATACAGAAATGAAGGACCCCCATCAAGACCCTCCTATATTTTTGGTAAACAGCATAAAATTATGATTATAAACAAATTACTTATAACTGAAATAAATCTTTATAACTACAAAATAATTTCTTTTATGGGTACAATTTATAGTTAAAAGTTCATGCATCATAAATATTTGATTTGGTTATATATTACAGTCTTGTCAAACAATTACTAATATTTCATTTTTTTACATGAAAAGAGCAAAGCTAGTATATTAGTATATAATTTATAAAAATAAAAGAAACAACTGTAGGTTGTCCTTTTTGTTGTACATGTACATGTACTTGTATTATTGGCTTGCAGTCTCATAGCCATTTATAAAACAGCCCCTTTTATCCATACACAATACTTACAAAGCACCTTGTAGAACTCCCTTGAATGTTGGAATAAGGGCACATCCTACCATTAAACCAAGTAGAATCAATGATATGATCATAAACCATATATTACTGAAAGAAATAATAATCATTAATTCTATTTTTAGGTTTGTATAAACCCCATCTTATCATACATATTTTAACAAGGTACACATTTTTCTCTTTCAAACTTATAAAATGTTTTTAAAAAATACAGTTAAACAGCTCCAACAGTCACCTCAAATCGTCTTTCTTCCAATCTAAATGTGTTCAATGTATTTTTTTAAAAAAGTTTCATCAGCCATCTGTTTTCGTACAAAATCACTGTTCAGACTCCTTATACAAGCAAACTTCAACAGCCAAGGAAATCACTCATGTGGCATAAAGTGTGCTCAAATCAAATCATATGCAAAGCCAAATCCAAGTTTGCCTTTTGCTTCTTTTTCTATGATTTGATTGGCTATTTATGAAAATTTTTGTTTGCTTAAAGCTTTTTTTATATTGTGCTCTTATCAAATAACCATTCTTCCATCTTTAATTGTTCAAGTATGTTAAGTCTAAAACTTAAATTTATCACTTCTCTTACAAAAGCAATGTCTTATTTGTAAATAAATGGAGAATGTGTCCATGGGACACAGATGATGCCCTCGCTTGCATATCGCTTGCATATAACATATAACATATAACATAATAAAGGGGCATAACTAGAGAACAGTAAAAGTGACGCCACCCGAACTTGACCTGTGTTTTGTGCTGACATTTGGTGTAAGCAAGCTAAAGAGTTAGAGAACTGAAACCAATTTTGGGACTTACGGACAGACAGACAAGGGTAACACTTAATGCCCCCTCAGGTGATGACAGGGGGATAAAAACCTGCATGTTTTACAGTATTTACAAAGATTGTTTATTACTACGTGAAAGACAACTGTGCATACCTTAGTAACCACCCAATATTTGCATTATCACACAATAATACAACATCAGGTGTTGGTTCACCATGAATAATAAATACTTACAATGGAAAGAAAGGTATTAAAGATGATGGGCCTAACATCAGGAAAGCTAAAACACTTAAAAGATTTCCTATAAATATCATTGTTCTTACATAACCCTGAAAATAAAATGACAAATCAATTCAAATGTTACTTTTATTGGAATGATTGTTCATGATCTATATTACTGTCAGAGTAAGCCATAATTAAAATATTACATGCTGATTTTTCTTTGTGTGCTGAAACAAAATACACCAATATTTTCTTCTTAACATTGCTTCAAATGCCCTATGTCATAGTAAAAGTTATATAGAAGTAACAGCAATTTTAAAATCACTAGATGGGCTATTCTACCAAAATCATTAATTATAACGTAAAGGTATTTGTTTTCATTTTTCTTTATTATAACTATGCAATTAGACATTAATTTTACCTAGTGCATAGCAGACTAATGTTTATAACAAAATAAATGGAAAAATATATATCTATAAGTCAATACTGCTAGTCCAGGAGTATATATATGTAATCTGCTTAACAGTCTTTATTGCATGACATCAGATAAATTTTGATGGAAATCCACAGATAACAAGTTTTGCAATTTTTATAAGAACTAAAATTTCAACTTCTTGAAATAAAGTTGACCTTTAAAGTTGGTTTTAGCTGATTTGAGACAACCACTCAATTTTATTGCATGGTTCTTTAGCATGCAAAAAGCATGGCACTTATCCTAAAAGGAGCATCAGATTTAAGTTCCTCATTCGAACCAGTTTTGCAAGCAAAGCATTCATTGCGACATTTAACAAATTATCTCCCCCTTACCTTACTATCAGTAATCCAGCCCCATAATGGCGCTGTGAAAGCATATATTCCTGGAGCTATCAAAAACATCAATCCTATCTGCCATGTATTTAAATGCAACTGAAATATATGAAAACATGTCCTTTGTAAAACTTTTATACCACAAAATACCTCTAACAAGATTATGAGTTACACATTCCTGTCAATTTCTCATGGAAAAATATCATACATGTACCTCTCATATGAGCTCTAAGATTATTTCTTTTATTTAATAAACATGTCCAATATCACTGCACAGAGATTTTTTGTGTACACACTATTTTTGAATTTCTCAATTTGAGGGCATATTAGGGATATTGACCCATATACTCAGATATTCAAGTGTTAAGAATGATATGTATTAATGTGTATATCCATACTTGTCAAGAAAACTATTTTTATTGAAAATTACTTAAATTGTGCTTTTGAAATGAAACTATCTGATCTAAAAATAGAAAGGGAAGGCCATATCCTGAATATGAGTTATATTACCTTTCATTGCTTAATACAATGCAATGTTTAATTTCATGTTCACACTGGAAAATGAAAGCAATCTTTACCGTTCAGTGTTCACAAGTACTTTGACTATCATTTGCTATTGGTAAATTATCTGATCAGGATCTAGATATACAATGGAAGGTTCTTGCATAATGAAGGAGATTTCATTTATAAAAGCTAAAATCTACTCCATTACAATGGATGTGGTCATGTGTTAGTTTCCAAATCCCCCTCCCCAACAAAATAATTGTGCATACATCAAATGGATGAACAAACATAAATGAAATCAAACCTCTCTTTCTACCCTCCAATATTCATTTAATGGCATAGCCCTATCAGAATATAAAATGAACAGAAAAAAATATTAACTCCAGTCTGCCTCAGTATATACTGAATTCGTGTGACTAAAAGGTAAATTACCTTTGATAAATGTTGAGCCAAGGTAGGATCCATAAATCCTAATGAAAATGCTCCTACAACGATGGAGATTCCAGTTACCAAAGCTAATGGACTCTTCAGGAGATAAATAAAAGGTTTTGATAACTTGCTATGGTGATCTGTAATAGAAAAGTATTACAATAAAATACTGTAAATTCAGAATTTAATGCAATGTTTTTGAAAATACGAAAAATAATATAGGACGTTCAACTCATTAATAAAAACACTAACAACATGGTTTTAAATCACATTACTTTATCTTACATATAGAATGATCAATAGAGATTTGCAAAATAACTATGGAAGTGATTTCTTAATTTACAGTTTGTATCCCTTTATTATAATGTTTATCTGAAAATTGTCTTGTAGTGTTTTGAATATTCAATATTATACTTCCTTAAGACATCCTTAACCTAAATCAGGTAGCTTGTATTTTTTAAATATTTTTTTCAGAATTCTGTTACTGAAGTTTTTGTTAAATACTCTGTATTTGTAAGATTGTGGTGTGTTTCCTTTTTTTTTAAACGAACTTAAATGTATCATTTAACAAAACTTTAACATTCACTTTATTTCAGCATATTTTTGTCAAACTTTCTATTTTCAATAATAGTCGTGAGATTGTTGGATAGCAGATAGGGCCATCACCCTTAACTCTTAAAGTGGATTGTCAGTGTTTCCTTTCAACAAAGTTTAGCAGCTATAGGACTTTGATGAATTTTATTGATTTTACCCATTTGTTCAATATAATGCTATGGTATCCATGTTGGTTGATTTTCTAAAAAAATCCTATGAATACTTATGGGTAAGTTTGATTCCTATTAGCCCAGTAGTTTCACAGGAGATAATTTACAATTCTGAAAAAGTTTTTGATCACTGATGTGCCTAACAGATAACTGAGGGCAAATAATGAGAAAAGCTTACGCTGCCCCTTAAGATCAGCTGTTCTAAATCAATAGGTTTGTAAGTTTCAATCAATTTTACAGATACTTAAACCCTGCCCAATGAAACATACCTATTTAGTTACACAGCCAATAGGTAATAAAATGCTCCATGGGGCGCAGCTTGATAGGACCACAGAGGTAAAACCCTGAACAGTTGGGGCAAGTATGGACACTACATTCAAGCTTGATACAGCTCTGAATTTGGATTGTGATTAAATATTTGACACAGCATAGGTTTCTGACACAGAATGAATGTGGTCAAAGAACTGAAAAATTTGAAATTGGACTTTTACATATTATGGTCCAATATCCAAAATCTAAATACACGGTTGGATTCAGCATATCCAAGTACACCAAGAATTTAATTCATTTATTCATTAATGAACAATATTAGCTAAGTTTTTAAAGGGGTCCACTTCTTCAAAAAAAAATATATGTATACAGCATTCTGAAAATTAATTTATACAGAATAACAAACAAACCTACCACGAAGTTCTTCTAAAATACTAAAAAAATGAAAAAAAACAAATTTCCAAAATATCATTCCTCATTATTACAATGTCTTTAAAAAATCTATAAAAATTACCTTTGATTATTTTTTTAAATATCTAATAATGAACAGTAAATTTCAAACTATATGTATACATAATTTCTTCTCTAAAATCCGAATCGATGCTGTATCTATTTCTAACTATGACTCTACTTACAATTTCTATTTATTGTGCAATACAGCTCTGAATTTGGATTGTGATTAAATATTTGACATAGCATAGTTTCTGACACAGAATGAATGTGGTCTAAGAACTTAAAAATTTTAAACTGGACATTTACCTTTTATGGTCCAATATCCAAAATCTAAATACATGGTTAGATTCAGCATATCAAAGAACCCCAAGAATTCAATTTTTGATGAAATCAAACAAAGTTTAATTTTGGACCCTTTGAACCTCAATGTGGACCAATTTGATAAAGGGATCCAAAATCTAAATACAAGGTTAGATTCAGCACATCAAAGAACCCCATATATTCAATTTTTGTTGAAATCAAACAAATTTTAATTTTGGACTCCGATTTGGTCCAACTTAAAAACTGGGCCCAAAATCAAAAATCTACATACATGTTTAGATTCAGCATATAAAACAACCCCTTGAATTCAATTTTTGTTAAATTCAAACTAAGTTTAATTTTGGACCCTTTGAACCTTAATGCGGACCAATTTGAAAACCAGTCCCAAAATCAAAAATCTAAATACATGGTTAGATATTGCATATCAAATAACCCTAATAATTCAATTTTTCTTAAAATCAAACTAAGTTTAATAATGGACCCTTTGAACCTTAATGTGGACCAATTTGAAAACCAGTCCCAAATCAAAAATCTAAATACATGGTTAGATTCAGCATATAAAAAAAACCCAATAATTCTAAACACATTGAAATTGGTCAAGAAATGAGCAATTTATACAAAGTATTAGAATAGTATTGTTTTTGGCCCCTTTTTTCTAAATGGTTAGGGCCATAAGCCCTAAATCATTCCCAACCTTCCTTTTCTGGTATGGAACCTTGTGGTACAATTTCATAGAGATCCATAGACTTTATACTCAAGTTATTGGCTGGAAACCAGACAATCCGAGTTTTTTGGCCCTTTTTTGGCCCCTAATTCCTAAATGGTTTGGTCCATAATCCCCAAAATCATTCCCAACCTTCCTTTTGAGTAATGGAACCTTGTTGTACAATTTCATACAGATCCATGCACTTATTATACACAAGTTCTGGTCCTGAAACAAGAAAAATGCTTGTTTTTGGCCCTTATTCCTAAACAGTTAAGACAATAGCCCCCAAAATCAATCCCAACCTTCCTTTTGTGGTATGGAACCTTGTAGTACAATTTCAAAGAGATCCATAGACTTATTCTCAAGTTATTGTCTGGAAACGAAATGTTTTCGGACAACGACGACGCTGACAACATCATATTATACGAACGCAAAAATTTTGCGGTCGTATAAAAACTGCTCATTATTTTTTTGTGAGTTTTCTAATCCCTTTTTTTTAAATCTTACCTTTAACTGGAGGCATTAGATAGAGACAAAACAATCCATACAGTATAACTATGGAACCCATAGCAAAGAATGGTAAACCAAAGCCTCCAGCCTAAAGATACACACATATTTATGTAAGAAAAATATTGTCCAAGAAAATTAAAAAAATGAATGGATATATGGACTTATGTTTTCTGTCTTGTGTGATTTAAATATCAAGGAACAGATGGACGACTGCATAATCAAATATTTTGCGTTAATCAAACTTTGTCAAAAAAAGGCTGCTCTTTATTAAACCAGCACTTGAGTAACTTTTGTTTGTACTAGTAACTATTGGTATTTTCTCAAATTTTCCTTTGATCTTTCTGTATGATAATTTTCCATATCACATTACTAGAGTGATATTGGTTTTTCTCAGTTTAGTAGAAAGAGAATGCAATGACATCATAAGCTTACAACATTGATGTTGCCTAGGAAAATAGCCTAAACATATTATCAATGATCTTTCAATCATACTGGAGAATGTTTCCTGGCTAGTTTTGCCCCTATTTTGTTTGATCAAATAGCGCATTGATATCTTGGTAGCTTGCTGGCCTTGAGTACACAAGGATTTCTTATGTTCTAAGGAAGAAGAGAAAGTGAAAAACCTCATCTTTGCTGACAACCATTATCTCTTTTTTTTCTTTTTATCCTTATCATTTTTCACTCCTATACAATCTGTGACTTATTATTATTTATTTATTTATTCATTTTTATATTTTTAGAACTTTTTTCTTCTGATCTGTTCTATAGAAAATGTCTAATATCTCCAATTATAATGTATTTATAATAATGATATTTTATATCTTACATGTATTTATTGTATGTATGTCATGTATATGCTTTAATTGTTGGAAATACAAATAAATGGAGAATGTGTCCATAGGACACAGATGATGCCCCCGATTGCATATAACGTTATAAAAGGTCATAACTCAAGAACGGTAAAAGTGATGCTACCCAAATTCGTACTTGATCTGAGTTTTGCGGTAATAAGCATAGTGTATAAGAATCATAACATTTGGTTGAGGCAAAATTTAAGTTAGAGAACGGAAACAAAAAATTCAGCAATTTTTCCATCTGTAAAAAGGCATAACTCTAGAAAGGTAAAAGTGATGCCACCAAAATTCAAACTTGATCTGACGTAGGGATGGACGTACAGACGAACAAGGGGCATAAAAAGAAAACTAAACGAACAAAAACAATCATTATCTACTCTCAACACAGTAAAACTAAAAATTCTGGAATTCAAATTACTAAAATTTCATTTTCAAAATTAAGCATTTAGGACAGAGCCAATCTATGTATGTAGGTAGGTAGCTATAGGTAAAGGGAAACAATCAGCTTTAATTTTCACTAAATTTTCTCACAGGAATAAGTCATCAAGATTATTTATCTATTTGAATTCATTTTAAATCACAAACTGTTTCTGCTTTCAAAGAGTTTTCTGTCATATAAGTTTTTACAGTAGTTTTTCTAATGGAGATTTATCTAAATATAATTACTATCATATATGAAAATAAATGTCATTTGATCAAGTGATTTACTGTATTTCCGTGAAAATGAATCCTGTTGTCATTTGCGAATTCCAGTTTCATTCTTTATTGTCACACAGAAAAAATTCGGTGCAGGTTCGATTTTACTATAAATACAAGCCTGCACTAATTTTTTCTTCATGTAAAAGGGTCAAGACACCACAAGAAAAGCAGCAGATTAAGATTATGACTTACTGTATATAAAGCTCCACCTATTGCTGGACCTACCATCATACCTATTCCACTAAATGTTTCTAGTGCTCCCTGAAATAGAGATAAAAAAATATGAACAATTGCAATGATCTGGGGTCAAAAAATTAATCAACATTGTTCATTTTCAAATAACCTGATTTACAATAAGTGGATATACTAGTATATATTCAAAACAAAGCTGTTACCTGCTATTGTAATGCCTTGGGATTATTAGCTCTATGAAGCCTGTATTACATGCCTGGTATCTAGAGTGGATTCATTTATTTTTATGGTACCAGTTTTTATGGATTAATGAAAAATTTTATTTTTTTGGCACCTGTAAATTCTGAAATTATTATTGCGAATCACTGATTACTGGTAAAAATGTGAGATTTAATAAATGTGATGGCATAAATTTATGAATGAAAATCACTACTGTGATTAGGAATGTGAGTTTTTATTATTGCAAACCTGATACAGTTGCATTTTTCGAATTAATGCAACATTGCAATGATTTCAAAATTTACAGTATTTAAGGCCAAAAATAAATTTAAATTGTTTGGTGTTGCCTACCTACCCACCTAAAAAGCAGCCTACTCAAAATATTTTATGACACAAATGGTTTTAAATTTTTATTCAGATTTTCTCATGCTATAAAATTGTTTTTTTGTCTAAAACATGTAACTTATGTTGTTGGCCCCCTCCCAAAATAAAAATAAATTGGGAATGAGTCCATGGGACACAGATAATGCCCCCACTTGCATAAAATGTTATACAGGGACATAACTCAAGAACAGTAAAAGTGACACTACCCAAATTCGTACTTGATCTGAGTATTGTGGTAATAAGCATTGTGTATAAGTTTCATAACATTTTGTTGAGGTAAACTTATGTTATAGAATGGAAATGAAGAATTCAGCAATTTTTCCATTTGTAAAGGTGCATAACTCTAGAACAGTAAAAGTGACCCCACCAAAATTCAAACTTGATCTGTGTTTTGTGGTAATAGGCATTGTGTATAAGATTCATAATACTTGGTTAAGGCAAACTTAAGTCATAGAACGGAAATGAAAAATTCAGCAATTTTTCCATTTGTAAAGGGGCATAATTCTAGAAAAGTGAAAGTGATACCACCCAAATTCAAACTTGATCTGTGTTTTGTGTTAATGAGAATTGTGTATAAGTTTCATAACATTTGGTTGAGGCAAACAAAAGTTGGAAAATTAAACCAATTTATGGACGTACGGACAGACGGACGTACAGGCGGACAAGGGTAAAACCTACCTACCTACCCAACCCTACAAAGCATGGGTAGGCAATATCAAACAAGGAATTTTAGGGTGGCCTTATTTCTTGATTCAGCCAAAGTCTGCATACCAGCCTACAGAATATTTGTACTTCATTGCAAATGTTAAATTTACGGTTAACCTATATACATGTACCAAAGAAATTCATGAAAAATTAGTATCCCACCACTACTAATGAATCACAACAGCCTGTGTGGATTTTGCTTTTTCCACCGGCCCACCGTGGGCAGTCCACCCGTGCCCACTCTAGCTATAATCTCTTTTTTGTAAAAATATTGATTACAAATGCTTATCTGCTTTTTTCAAGTGATTGTACTTGCAAGTCTTTAGATGAAACAAAAGAAATTGAATGCCCACTCCTACAGGTGAGCAGAGTGGACAAGGTACAAATTTTGCCCACCCGGTGCCCACTCCCATGGTGGGCCGGTGGACAAAGCAAAATCCACCCGAGCTGTAGTATACCAATGAAATTCATGAAAAATTAGTATCCCACTACTACTAATGAATCTACAGTTATCCAAACACATTTCCTTTTGTTGCAATTGGTTGTGAAGGTTTGAAAGTTGAACGGTAGTCATGTATAGTTTGGAAACTGACCATGTCTAAGGGTGATGTTGGTCAACTATGGCCAAAATTGACCTGATGATTTTAGAAAAAAAGATGCCCGGAAATAAATCAATGGACAACAACTAAAGGCATAGGTCAAGTAGTGAGAAAAGCCTATAATTAGCTAAATTAATAAAAGAACATAAAGATGGGCTGGGTAACAGATGTTAAATGATGAAAATAGCTTATGTTGGCCCTTTTAGAGAGTAAAGGGCGATGACAGATAGACCAAACCCTTTTTTTACTATTTTCACTTACAAAAACAGTGGATACATTGTCAGGGAACACACTGGCAGTTATGGCAAACAAAGCTGTAACATATGCTGAGCACCCTAATGCTTCCACTACACGACAGCAAAAGCACATCACAATATAAACTGTCCCATCTGGACATCTATCTAAAACTCTGAAATATAAAAAAATATGTACGCATTTTATCTATATATGAAAACAGATAATTTCATACAACAAATGGACTGTGGTAATGAAATAAACTGGTATGTTACACTTCATTTCTGAGAAAATCAAGGGCCTCGGTGGCTGTGTGGTCTAAGCACTTCAACTGCTGTACCACTAGCTTGTCAACGCATAGGTTGTGAGTTTGAACCTGGCATGTGGCAGGTGCATTTGACTCCAATTCTAATTGATAACTAGGATTATAGCCAAGTGCTGAAAGTGGCATTAAATACCAAAAATCAATCAATCAATCTGAGAAAAATTGACCAAAAGGCACTCTTTGACCAAAGCGTGAAATGTTGGTCATATCTGTTAAAATAGTGCTAAATAGCAATAAACTATAGTCAGTCAGGGGCATTACTTTAAACCAGTTTTTTTTTAATTATCTGTACAGTTAATTTTGATAAGAAAATAAAATTACTCAGAAATTATTTTAAATTACAACAGATACATGGACTTTATGTACTTTTTATGAGTTTTATACTATTTCTAAAATTACATAAAATTAGGAAAATTGAACAGAGTATGCAGATAATAGGTAAGCTTACAAATACATGTAATGATAGAAATATTACAACAGGTAAGACAACAAAAATTAAAGATTCATAACTACTGATCTTTTCTTTATGTCCATCTTTGTTACTGCATGTCAGATATGTTAAATGTAACATCAAAAAGAAGATAAAAAGTAATAAACTGCTTCGCTGAGTGCAGCTGGATACACCCGCAGAGGTCCAACCCTGCACAGTTGGGGCAAAAATGGACACAATATTCAAGCTTGATACAGGTCTGTATTTGGATTGTAATTAAATATTTGACATATTATAGGTTTCTCAATAAATGTAGTCAAAGAACTTGAAATTGGTTATATGAATTGAATTTATATTCAATTAAAGATTTCTTGCTGTTGTGCAATACTTAGTAAATCTGTTGTCAGACTATAAACAAATAAAGTTCAATTTCTTCTCAATGTCATATTTGAAATTTATGAAAATCAATAGGGAGATTACATCAATAGCTATAAATAATTCACCAAAGTTTCATGAGAACTGCTGAAAGCATTTTTGAGTTATTGTCCAAAAACTGGAAAATCCCCCCTTTTTTAATGAATAAAACCCCATAACTCAGAAATGTAAAATCTAAAATTTATAAAATTCAAAAGGAAGCTTACATCAACAGATATAAACAATTCACCAAAGTTTCATGAGAACTGCTGAAAGCATTTTTTAGTTATTGTCCGAAAACTGGAAAATCCCCCCTTTTTTAATGAATAAAACCCAAAAACTCGGAAACGGTAAATCCGAAATTTATAAAAAACGAAAGGGAGCTCACGTCAATAGATATCAACAATTCAATAAAGTTTCATGCATATTGGTTAAAACTTTTTTGAGTTAATGTCCGACATGTTGACGACGGATGGACGGACGGACGGTCAACGGTATACCATAATACGTCCCGTAAACAGGCATATAAAAACGGTAAAATTTCCTTAATATTACCAATTCAGGGGCATCAACTCAACAATGGGTTTGTCTGATTCATCTGAAAATTTCAGTGCAGAAAGATCTCAACCTGATTAACATATTTACCCCATGTCAGATTGCTCTAAATGCTTTGGTTTCAGAGATATAAGCCAAAAACTGCATTTTACCCCTATGTACTATTTTTAGCAATGTCGGCCATCTTGGTTTGTGGATAACGTCATCGGACATGTTTTTGAAACTATAAACCCTAATGATGATTGTAACGAAGTTTAGATAAATTTGTCTCAGTAGTTTCAGAGGAGAAGATTTTTGTAAAAGATTACAAAAATTTACGAAAAATTGTTAAAAAATTTACTATAAAGGGCAATAACTCCTTAAGGGAGACAATTTTGTTCATGTTGACTTATTTGTAGATCTTACTTTGCTGAACATTTATTGCTGTTTACAGTTTATCTCTATCTATAATAATATTCACCAGGGTAGCAACCCAACAACGGGTTGTCCAGTTCGTCTGAAAATTTCAGGGCAGATAGAAATTGACCTGATAAACAATTTAACCCATGTCAGATTTGCTATAAACGCTTTGGTTTCAGAGATATAAGCCAAAAACTGCATTTTACCCCTATGTTCTATATTTAGCCATGTTGGCCATCTTGGTTGGCGAACCGGGTCATCGGACACATTTTAAAACTAAATACCCTAGTGATGATTGTGGCCAAATTTGGTTAAATATGGCTTAGTAGTTTCAGAGGAGAAGATTTTTGTAAAAGTTAACAGACGACGGACGACGAACGCCAAGTGATGAGAAAAGCTCACTTGGCCCTTTGGGCCAGGTGATCTAAAAATGACTCCACCTAAACTCAAATTTGATCTTGGTTTTATGGTTAAAAGTATTGTGTATAAGTTTCATAACATTTGGTTGAGCGAACTAAAGTAAGATAACGGAAACTAAAAAATTCAGCAATTTTTACATTTGTAAAGGGGCATAACTTTTGAACGGTATAACTGACAATGACTGACGCCACCAAAATTCAAATTTGATCAGTGTTTTGTGGTAATGAGCATTGTGTGTAAGTTTCATAACATTTGGTTAAGACAAACTAAAGTTAGAGAACAGAAACTAAAATGCTCCGCTGGGTGCAGCTTGATACGACTGCAGAGGTCGAACCCTGAACAGTTGGGGCAAGTATGGACACAACATTCAAGCTTGATACAGCACTGAATTTGGATTGTGATTAAATATTTGACACAGCATAGGTTTCTGACACAGAATGAATGTGGTCTAAGAACTTGAAAATTTTTAATTTACCTATTCAAACCATATCATTATTATTTGCTTTTATATATAAATCAGAAATAACCAATTTAAAATGGAAAATTTTAAAGAAAAAAAAGGGAAAAAAAATCCCCCCCCCCATTTTTTGAACCCCTTTATGATTAATCACCCCCATACTCAATCCCAGCCTTCCCTTGGTGGTATGGTACCTTGCAGTACAATTTCAGAGAGATCCATACACTTGAACACAAGTAATTGTCTGGAAACTAGAAAAATGCTTGTTTTTTGGCCCCTTTATGGCCCCAAATTCCTAAACGTTTAGGGCAAGTAACCCCAAACTCAATTCCAGCTTTCCCTTTGTGATATGGAACCTTGTAGTACAATTTCATAAAGATCCATACACTTACACAAGTTATTGTCATGAAACTAGAAAAATGCTTGTTTTTTGCCCCTTTTTTGGCCCCTAATTCCTAAAATTTGGAGGCAATTACCCCCAAAATCAATCCAAGCTTTCCCTTGGTGATATGGAACCTTGTGGTACAATGTCAGAGAGATCCATACACTAACACACAAGTTATGTCTGGAAGTTACAAAAATGCTTATTTTTGGCCCCTTTTTGGCCCCTAATTCCTTAACTATTGGTACCATAACCCCCAAAATCAATCCCAACCTTTCTTTTGTGGTATTGAACCTTATGGTAAAATTTCATAGAGATCCATTCACTTAAACTAAAGTTAGAGTGCGAAAACCAATGTGTCTTCGGATGACGACGGCGATGACGACGGCGATGACGACGCCAATGTCATACCAATATACGACCACAAAATTTTTTTGCGGTCGTATAAAAACCAGATACCTGTTAAATCAAAGGTTTTACTTAATTTTGTACCGTACACAACATACTCAATGTTGTACAAATGTACTTCCGATTGACTATTTATGTTGCTATGCACGCTTATTTTTTTTTCTGTGGTTTTGCAGAGATAAAATTTATTTGCACTTTTGTATGCGATTGATTCCTACATTTTGTGTTGCAGATTATTCATTTTCATGCTGTCTTATGCAAGGTTATTTAATTTCAGCTCTGAACAGGCCAGGATATTCTTTTACAAAATCCTTCTGCAACCCCCACCACAACCCCTGAAAATGAAATATTCATCCCCTTACATAGAAGAGATATTTCAAGGTGACTAACTCAAAACTACCAGCATTCACTGTAACAAATCACGACTAAGAGTGATTTTTTACTTAATCAACTTATTCACACTGTATAATATGACCATTCACTCTATCGTCAATAGACCATGACTGAGGTGGAGCCAATCTCCATAGAAATGAGATGTGCCAATGCTAATACATCTGCATACCAAATATCACTGACCTACCATTAAAGGTTCCCCTTAAACTGACCTAATCACAAACTAATACATGTAAAGTAGGCAAAAGTTTTAAAACTTATACATTGTTTACCCTGCCACCGCTGCCACTGCTGGAAACAGCAACCTAAGTCTCACTCTTTCGACAAAAACTAGTCAAATTTAATGTTTTCGTCCGGAAATTATAAACTTACCCAAAAAGAATTGCACATGTTCCGGTTACAAATGTACCACATGAAAACATAAACTTTGAGCCTATTCTTGTGATCTGTTCCAAAAAAAGACATAAAGAAAACATTCTAAATTTAAGATTGCATATTCTCATACTGTCAATTCATTATTATGTTTGGAAACTAATCTTTGTGGATTTCATGTGTTTAGGTGAACAACGAATTTAAATGTTCAACGAAAAACAAAATTCCTAATTTCGGAATATAATAAACGTTTTTTTTATACCTATGAAATCAAGTACATGTATCATGAAAATTGTTACTCATGAAATAAATGAATCCACAGTATATAAAGAAAAGAAAAAAACCAGAGTTCACCCCTGTTTTTGGAGGGTTTCGTGTTGCTCAATCTTTAGTTTCCTATGTTGTGCTTTATAGACTGTTGTTTGTCTTTTGGTTGTTTTTCATTTTTTGCTATGGCATTGTCAGTTCGTTTTTTTCTTATTACGATTTCTTTGGTATCTTCCAACTCTCTTTAACCAAAGGTTTCCTTTTATCCATATTTATATGTGAAGTTTTCAGATTCACTCTACAACTGGATAAAGAAAAAGATAATGAATGAATTCATGCAAGAATGGATGGATGAATGGATGAATATTTCAAGTCCAGTGGCAAATTAAATGCATATTCAGAACGAAAAAAATGTTAATGTGATATGGATATTAATATGATACATGCTTTGTAAAAAATTGACATAAAGGCTTTGAAATAGCTGTCAGTAATTGTGAGTACTCTCAGATCTGTTCCTGTTTTTTTGTTTCTTAGTGATGTATAAATATCCTGCCACGTCCGGCCTGTGTTTTTGTTAGATGTTTTTCTGCTTTGCATTAATCTGATGAGTTAAGCAAACACACAAAAAATAAACAACATTAAAATCTGACAACATACCAGTACTTACATAATTACCAAATATTGGTGATGATATAAAAATAATAAATTCAAAAACACCAAATATAAATCCTGTAACTGTTGTTGATACTCCTTTCCTTGCAGCCTAAAAATATATAAATTAGAACATTTGATTGGATAATCAGTTCAAGTAATCAAATATACTGTGAATTCATTATCATGGATACCAGTTTTCATCATGTTCATGGATTGAGTAAAATTTACCATTTTATGGATATTTGATTTCTGTGTTTTGCCAAAATCTGCATGAACATTCATATAAATCGTTTAAGTTTACTATTGAAATCCACGAAAATTGGTGTTCCTTAAATAATAAATAAAAAATAAAAATCACAAAAAAATGAACTCTGAGGAAAATTCAATAAAATGCTCCACTGGGCCCAGCTTGATACGACCGCAGAGGTCATACCCTGAACAGTTGGGGCAAGTATGGACACAACATTCAAGCTTGATACAGCACTGAATTTGGATTGTGATTAAATATTTGACACAGCATAGGTTTCTGACACAGAATGAATGTGGTCTAAGAACTTAAAAAATTTTAATTTACCTATTCAAACCATATCATTATTATTTGCTTTTATATATAAATCAGAAATAACCAATTTAAAATGGAACATTTTAAAGAAAAAAAAATGAAAAAAATGAAAAAAAAAATCCCTCCCCCAAATTTGTTGAACCCCCTTATGATTAATTACCCCCAAACTCAATCCCAACCTTCCCTTTGTGGTATGGTACCTTGCAGTACAATTTCAGAGAGATCCATACACTTGAACACAAGTTATTGTCTGGAAACTGTAAAAATGCTTGTTTTTTGGCCCCAAATTCCTACACGTTTAGGGCAATTACCCCCAAACTCAAACCCAGCTTTCCCTTTGTGATATGGAACCTTGTAGTACAATTTCATAAAGATCTATACACTTACACACTTGTAAGTAATTGTCCTGAAACTAGAAAAATGCTTGTTTTTTGCCCCTTTTTGGCCCCTAATTCCTAAAATTTTGAGGGAATTACCCCCAAAATCAATCCCAGCCTTCCCTTTGTGGTATGGTACCTTGCAGTACAGTTTCAGAGAGATCCATACACTTGAACACAAGTTATTGTCTGGAAACTAGAAAAATGCTTATTTTTGTCCCCTTTTTGTCCCCTTATTCCTAAACGTTTTGGGCAATTACCCCCTAACTCAATTCCAGCTTTCCCTTTGTGATATGGAACCTTGTGGTACAATGTCAGAGAGATCCATACACTAACACACAAGTTATGTCTGGAAGTTACAAAAATGCTTATTTTTGGCCCCTTTTTGGCCCTTAATTCCTTAACTGTTGGTACCATAACCTCCAAAATCAATCCCAACCTTCCTTTTGTGGTATTGAACCTTATGGTGAAATTTCATAGAGATCCATTCACTTAAACTTAAGTTATAGTGCGAAAACCAATGTGTCTTCGGACGACGACACCAACGTCATACCAATATACGACCGCAAAATTTTTTTGGGGCCGTATAAAAAGGAAAGGTCCCAATCAAATGGCAAAATCAAAAGTTAAACACATCAAACGAATGGATAACAACTGTCATATTCCTGACTTGGTACAGGCATTTTCTTATGTAGAAAATGGTGGATTGAACCTGGTTTTATAGCTAGCTAAACCTCTCACTTGTATGACAGTCGCATCAAATTCCATTATATTGACAACGATGCATGAACAAAACAAACAGACACAATAGGTAAAAATGTCAAAAATAGGGGTACAGCAGTCAACATGCTATCATCTTAATCACTATAAAAACAAACAATTGAAACAAATGTAAATAATCCACAGTAACTACTTAACTGTATTATCATTATAAATACTATCTCTGTACAAGGGCTTCACAACAAATAAAGGTCATTAAGTATCCTCATAGTAGTAGTTAAATTATATTCCTAGCTTCTTCTGAAGCACCTTAGATCACCCCCCGTTTTTTTGCTAAGGTTGTGTTGCTCAGTCTTAATTTTCTATGTTGTGGATTTATTTGTCTTTTTGTTGTTATTTGTTTTTTGCCATGGTGTTGTCAGATTTATGAGTTCTGAATGTCTCCTTGGTACAAATGTATCTTCTGACTTTTTTTCTGTTGTAAGACACCAAAGGTTTCTGTTATAATGTAAGAATATTACATAATAAGAAATTATTTTGGCGGACAAACTTGAAATTGGTGTATTCAAGCAATGCTTAAGGCTACAGTTCATTATAATTGTGTATAATTACTTTACATTTTAAAGGACCATAATTTATACATGCAAATTGGTTGAAATATTTACTTGCAAGCCAATAATATTTAAGAGAAGTTTTTGAACTGCTTTTGACAAAATTGAACCAAAATGACTGCTGATAGCAAAATATAATTTCTGCTTTTATAAATGTTTGAAACATCAAAAATAATTTGTCTAAATCTTAGCTAATGCCCCTTTAATCAAAACATGTCTGCTCTGTTATACAAATGTAGTACTAATTTCATCAATGTAATAATTTTCAATATTTTTGCACTTAAAGGACCCACACAATGTAATACCATCCTAAAAAGTGCATTTACATGAACATATACCGCATTTAGCCGTGTATAATACGCACCACCTTTTCATCCCTCCAAAATCGTGAAATTTTTTTTTTTTAAATATGAAAAAGTAAAAAAAAAAATTAAAATAATTAATAAGAAATGAAAAAGTGAAAAAAAAGGATGATAGTTAACTGTCTTGATATAGAACTTACCTCAGCAGGGAAAAATGGTGCTAAAAGTGAAAAACATGTGCACGCAAAAAAATTCATAAGTCCCATAGATAAAAGCAGCAATTTTTCGCGTCGTGTGATTCTGGAAAATGAAAATTCTTCTTTGTTAGTATCCACTGATTTTTCTTTTTCTTCAGCATCTTGAAGAACTCTATCAGAGTTAATTAAAGGGGTCTTTTCTGATGAATCTGTCATTTTGTTATTTTTTCTAAAAAAAAAAGCATATATTACAAATTAAGACCTATATACATGTAGTGGTATTAGGGGAAGAACAAGGAATACCGACATATGAATAATGATTTTGCTTTAGAGACAAGAAGTTAAAAAAAGTCTAAAATTTGAGTATCTATGAATTAGTTTGCCACTAGTTATCATCATGATCATTGATTGTACATGTAATAAGTTCCTGTATACAGATCCTACAAAATATCATTGCTCAAGCTTCAAAATGGTATCTGATGATATGGATACTTTCAGGAACACAACTGACTTTGAAATAGTGCATTCAACATAAAATAAACTGCTTCGCTGAGCGCAGCTGGATACTCCCGCAGAGGTCCAACCCTGAACAGTTGGGGCAAAAAAGGACACAATATTCAAGCTTGATACAGGTCTGAATTTGGATTTTATTTAAATATTTGATATATTATAGGTTTCTGAATAAATGTAGTCAAAGAACTTGAAATTGGTTATATGAAAGATTTCTTGCAGTTGTGCAATACACTGTGCTGTTGCGTAATACTTAGTAAATCTGTTGTCAGACTATAAACAAATAAAATCTTATAACTTGGAAACATAAAATCGAAAATTTATAAAAATCAAAAGGGAGCTTATAAAAATAGATATAAACAATTTACAAAAGTTTCATAAAAAATACTGAAAGCATTTTTGAGTTATTGTCCGAAAACTGGAAAATCCCCCTTTTTGTAATGAATAAAACCCCATAAATCAAAAACGTGTTGTCTGAAATTTATAATAAAATGCTCCGCTGGGGCGCAGCTTGATACGACCGCAGAGGTCGAACCCTGAACAGTTGGGGCAAGTATGGACACAACATTCAAGCTTGATACAGCACTGAATTTGGATTGTGATTAAATATTTGACACAGCATAGGTTTCTGACACAGAATGAAATTAGTGGTCTAAGTACTTAAAATTTTTTAATTTACCTATTCAAACCATATCATTATTATTTGCTTTTATATATAAATCAGAAATAACCAATTTAAAATGGAAAATTTTAAAGAAAAAAAAGAAGTAAAAAGGAAAAAAAAATCCCCCCCCGAAATTTTTTGAACCCCCTTATGATTCATCACCCCCAAACTCAATCCCAGCCTTCCCTTTGTGGTATGGTACCTTACAGTACAATTTCAGAGAGATCCATACACTTACACACAAGTTATTGTCATGAAACTAGAAAAATGCTTGTTTTTTGCCCCTTTTTGGCCCCTAATTACTAAAATTTTGAGGGAGTTACCCCTAAAATCAATCCCAGCCTTCCCTTTGTGGTATGGTACCTTGCAGTACAATTTCAGAGAGATCCATATACTTGAACACAAGTTGTTGTCTGGAAACTAGAAAAATGCTTATTTTTGGCCCCTTTTTGGCCCCTTATTCCTAAACATTTTGGGCAATTACCCCCAAACTCAATTCCAGCTTTCCCTTTGTGATATGGAACCTTATAGTATAATTTCATAAAGATCCATACACTTACACACAAGTTATTGTCATGAAACTAGAAAAATGCTTGTTTTTTGCCCCTTTTTGGCCCCTAATTCCTTAACTGTTGGTACCATAACCCCCAAAATCCATCCCCACCTTCCTTTTGAGGTATTGAACCTTATGGTAAAATTTCATTGAGATCCATTCACTTTAACTAAAGTTAGAGTGCGAAAACTAATGTGTCTTCGGACGACGACAACGACGACGTCATACCAATATACGACCACAAAAATTTTTTTGCAGTCGTATAAAAATCAAAAGGGAGCTCATGTCGATAGAAATAAACTATTCACCAAAGTTTCTTGCAAATTGGTGAAATTGTTTTTGAATTATTGTCTGAAAACTGAAAAATCCCCACTTTTTTAATGAAGAAAACCCCAAAACGGTAAATCCAAAATTTATAAAAAACAAAAGGGAGCTCACGTCAATAGATATGAACAATTCACAAAAGTTTCTTGCAAATTGGTGAACTTTTTTTGAGTTACTGTCCGAAAACTGGAAAATCCCCCCTTTTTTAATGAATATAACCCTTAAACTCGAAAACGGTAAATCCTAAATTTACAAAAAAACGAAAGGGAGCTCACGTCAATAGATATGAACAATTTACAAAAGTTTCATGCAAATTGGTGAAATTATTTTTGAGTTATTGTCTGAAAACTGGAAAATCCCCCCTTTTTTAATGAATAAAACCCCAAAACTCGGAAATGGTAAATCTGAAATTTATAAAAAAATAGAAGGGAGCTCACGTCAATAGATATAAACAATTCACCAAAGTTTCATGCATATTGGTTCAAGCATTTTTGAATTAACGTCCGACATGTTGACGAAGGACGGACGGACAGACGGACAGACAGACGGTCAACGGTATACCATGATAGGTCCCGTAAATGGGCGTATAAAAATACTTGCATGGGATTATACTGGTGTTTACATTTGTTCCAGGTGTGACTTTGAAAAAAGCCATATCATATGACTTACAACTTACAACTCCCGTTAGCACCATGTGTGACGGTCTAACCTCCGTATTTCTCATCAGAAAAGTTGTCCTTCCATTTTGCATTTCTGTAACTTTTTAGTTTTTAAGAGGATAGGCGCCTATCGCTCAATCCCCAACCTGGAGAACCAGAGAATTTTTACTCAAGGTTTCTTTCCTTTAGATCAATTGCCTACCAAGGCTGACAAGTCAAATCTACCCGGAATTTTATGTTAGAGTTATCTTCTCCTAGATGAATTACCTTCCAAGGCTGACGACCTTCATCCAGCTGGCTATTAACCCATAACTGGGGCAAGGTTGATGAGCGTTAGGGCATATCCACACATCGATGGGCCTACACACTTCATCTCTAGGGTCCTTGTTACTCCGAGATCCTCTACAGTTAAGCCTAGGACACTAACTCCTAGTTACCATGTGCTGTTGCGAGGAGGCACTGTAGAAGTCTTGATAATGCAGAGGATATGTACTGGCAGGAAAAACTTACGCACTCGGCTTTCTTTTCACATATGAAACAGGCTATCCAGCGGCAGTGGAAGAGTCTATGACTCCCAACCGCACTAGACGCATACACAAACCTGTGGTAACACCACCAGCACACCATATCATATGACACATACTCTTTATTATATACCTCAAGTACTGTGAATTCATTTATTTTCGTGGCTTCCAATTTTCATGGATTGAAGAAAACTTCCATTTTCTTGGATATTTGATATCGAGGTTTCATATATTCATAAAGTAAGATTGCTATTCGCTGAGCATTTAAATTTGTGGTTTCCATGTACCCAAAAAATCCACTAAAGGTGGTTTCCAACGAATAATAATGAATCCACAGTAGGTATTTTCATGTGACATGATGTAATACAGAGTAGGGTTTTGATATTTAAAGCCTTTGCAAATGTGACTGATATTGATATCATCACAGCTAGATGGCTGAAAATGGGTCAGTATGCGTAATTGATTTCCCATAGCATGCATAGGTGGTAATGGTAACATTTTCTTCTGTAGCTCAGTCCATATTGTAAACTTGGATATGTATGATGGCTCATTTCGAAACTGAGACATTTTCACATATGTGGTTTAATTTTCGGGGTAAATTTTTTCCGTAAATTAGCACACCCTGAAAATTCTTTCGTGATGCAGCTCCTCGTCGTAAAAAATCCCTTTTTTCACACAATAAGTTCTTTGAAAATTTAATACTTTGTATACATTTAATAGCTCCATATTTTTTACACATTTATTCTATGGTCCTTTACTTTCCAAATCAACATAAATGGTTAAGCTCAGTCACTTCTTAAAAATGTTAAAAATAGAAACATGTCCAATATCACTACACATAGATTTTTTGTTTACGCACAACTTTTGTGTTCCTCAATTTGAGGCACATTAGGGATATTGACCCAGATGACTGATACAGCACAATTGCCATTGATTTTATTACACAAACAGTTTACTTGTATTTACTAATATATAAATAAATTGCTTCGCCGAGCGCAGCTGGATACGACCGCAGAGGTCCAACCCTGAACAGTTGGGGCAAAAATGGACGCAATATTCGCGCTTGATACAGGTCTAAATTTGGATTGTAATTAAATATTTGACACATAAAAGGTTTCTGACACAGAATAACCGTAGTCAAAGAACTTAGAATTAGTTATATGATTTGAATTTATATTCAATTTTTTTCAACTATGCTGTTGCGTATTAACCCTTAACCCCCACACACACACTTTTTTTTGGCAAAAAAAATAATATTTGAAGAATTTTTCTTTTTAATTTCTGAAATCTGTAATGAGAAAAAATTGACCCCCCACAATTTCTTTTTACCCCCCCCCCCCCCCCCCCCCCCCCCCCCAAAAAAAAAAATTCTTTCCCTCAAGATATTGTCATAATCTCAATTCAAATTTCCAATGGAGTTTGCAACCATAATTACCCATTTAAATTTACCATAATGCTAACTTAATCTATTTTATAATAGAATTTAAAATATGGTGTCAAATCTTTCATATGGATTTTTTTGTGAAAAAAAAAGATGCAACATTTGCAGATATTTTTACTGGTCTTCCTCTATAAATTTGCATTTCTTTAAACATAATTTAAAAGCAGTGTAAGGGAGGTAATCAAAACGTTGTATTTGGATTACCTCCCTTACACTGCTTTTAAATTGTCTTAATTGTTCATTAACCATTACTTTATACATAAGTTAAAAGCAGTGTAAGGGAGGTAATTCAAATGATGTATTTGAATTACCTTCCTTACACTGCTTTAAATTATATTTTGTACTAAAGTATTTGTTCATTAACCAGGGCACCCTTGTTTTCCCCCTTTTTTTGCCCCTAGTTCCTAAATGGTTTGAGCCATAACCCCCCAAAGCAAATCCTAACCATCCCTTTGTGGTATGGAAACTTGTGGGGTAATTTCAGAGAGATCCATATACCGTTCCACAAGTTATTGTCTGGAAACTAGAAAAATGCTTATTTTTGGCCCCTTATTCCTTAACTGTTGGAACCATGACCCCCAAAATCAATCCCAACCTTCCTTTTTGTGGTATTGAACCTTATGGTAAAATTTCATAGAGATCCATTCACTTAAACTAAAGTTATTGTGCGAAAACCAATGTGTCTTCGGACAATGACGACGACGTCATACCAATATACAACCGCAAAAATTTGTTGCAGTCGTATAAAAATATACATGTACCAGAATATGTAAACGTGTACCTTACATTTTTGAAGATAAATTACAACTTGTCAATCTGTTGCTGATTTTAATAGTTATTAATTCTAAAAATTCAAGACCTTTTTTCATTTTTACTACAAATTGTACATAATGTATTGGCACTAAAAGGTAAATATCAACATTGTTTTGAGGTGCATTGCATATAAAGTTAAAACATGAGTTTTCAAGCATCTATTCATGAATCATGATAAATAGGAGTTATATATAAAAATTTTATAGGTAAACAACAATATAATTCATGTGTACTGGGTAGATTTCACTAGCTAGTTCCCCGCCAAAATAAGCTTTACCATATCTATGTATTTGATTTGTTTCATGTGTATATTACTTTTCTGTATTTCTTTATGTGTTCTTAATTAAATATGGTCTAACTTCATAAGTTCCAAATATCTAATCTTGCAAGTTCTTGCTTAGTCACAGAGTATTGCATAATCATACAAGGGTGTTTAAGGACTAGTACCCATGCATGTCTTGCACAGTGTAAGACATAAATATTACAACTGGAGTGTTTAAAGACCTGCTTGACTGGCTCTAAAGCCCTCGCACAGTCAGATACATAAATATATTGTATATATGAAAACAAATTCTGATAAATTACCATTTAAGCATTTAAAAGATGTAGAGATCTCTCAAATAACTTTCACTATATTATCTTTTTTTTTGTCCTAAGAAAGTTAAAATCATTTTATGTACTATTCTTATATATTTAGGGTTAGGGTTAGGGGTTAACGTTAGGGGTTAAGGTTAGGGTTAACTATTTAGGTTAAGGGTTAAGGTTATGGTTAGGGGTTACGGTTATGGTTAGGGGTTTAGGTTAGGGTTAGGGGTTATGGTTAGGGTTAGGGGAGGTGTAAGTGCACAAATTCCTCCATAAATCAGCCAAATTCAACTTGTTATACTAACTGCTAGACTTAAGAAAAAGTTGTTTTCTGAACAATTCTAATTTATTTTAACATGCTTGCTTCATAACTACAATCTAGTAAGGACCTTTTATCATACCTATTTGAACCAAATGTTTCAAGTTGGTAAGTCAAATAGAAAAATCAACCATTTACCCCCCCCCCCCCCCCCCCCCCCCAAAAAAAATGGTGGCCAAGGGAAATAACTCAAACTCAAATTATGTCCTATCGAAACCTATCTGTATCTGTAAAAAATCTTCACTTCCAATATATATAGGAGATCGATTATCTATTATCTTAGAGTCAAGCAACAACAAGTAATAGTCTTTCAAGACCTCTTAATAGACGACATTCGAGTTCGTTGTATTTTCGTCATAACCTTTGGTTTTATATTAGTGAACATCATTCCTGGGTTTATGGGCGTCGTCACTTCTGTTCCTATGTCATGTAAGTTGAGCGATTGGTTGAAAAAATGGTAATGCTATATTCATGATATTGCACTAATCATTCGGCAAATTAAATTCTTATAATTGATATTTAGCACTGCTATCATAAGGGAATTGTGATTAAGTACTTACGGAACAATATTATTTCTAGTTTATCCTGCATAATGACGATCACAAAGACGCTTGATGAACTTTAATACTAATAGAACAGGGACATCATGTACATTTGTACAGGCAATCCCCTCTATTTGGTAAATGACGTCACAAAAGCGCACAAAATTGACGAACTTTTCGGATAATGGACATAACTCGAAAATGGTCTAGACTATTATTTGGAATTATAGTTTATATAATATATGTTTTTTTTTTCTTCAAAATGGTCTTCTCTTATTTGTTTTTCATGATTTATACTGTGTTGAGGGGGAAGTCTAATCCCTCTTAAGATTCTGACTCCAGAGCGATTTTCTTATTCGGCTTGATTCAGATGCCTCCAAGGGATGATTAACATGATTAATTAGTGGTTGCTTAACGTCCAGTGGCAAATATTTCGTGCATATTCAAAACGATAGAGGGAGTTCCGTATCCCTTATGTAAGGCAGTCAACAGTTGCACACCTCAAAACACTGTTGAGTGTTCTAAAAACGACAATTAATAGTACCTGTTGTTTTGATAAAAGGTCGCATACTGCAGATAGCACGCTGACGGCTGCAAAAGAGTTATCCTCCCTGGAAAAATAAATTACTGAATCAATTGCGGAACAACTCTGTAAGAATACGCGAATCAGTTATCTGTGCATAAAATCTGTGACATAATATATTGACTAGTCCCAGATAAAATTAATAAAGGTTTATCCTTAAATATATACTACTTGTTAAAAAATAGACCTTTATAAACCTATGACTTACCTTAAAACTCGATTATGTTTACCGTTTACGAAGTAACATTGTTTTTATATCATAGGTCACTAGCCTAACTTACATTATGTTGTGCAACACACAGATATCGTCCTTCCCATTTCTCAATTCAAATCAGGTTTTCACAGAGTGTTCAAAAAATAGGTTAATAATCTTATAATGGCCTCCAGTTTTGGGGTGCGTCTTAACACTGCTATTCCTTAGTGCAGGCTATATATAAGGACTTATTAATATAATATGCCACTACTGATCACTACTCTGGGAACAGTATGTCAATATATATGTTCCTGCACTACTGAAGGACTTTAGAAGCCCAAGGGGTGCTATTCATGATCATTCATGTCAACAAATTTCATATTATGGTAGAGATTGATATTTTATGCATAAATTCTAAATTTTATAGAAAAAGAATCACAAATAAACGAGTAATCAGGGCTGTGACTACATTGAGGCAAATGAGGCAAATGCCTCATGTTGAAAATTTCGGAAAAAAAATCATAGGTTGAAACAAAAACTTGTCTTCATATCAAATTGTTTTCACGGCGAGTGTCTTGTAAGAAGCAAGTTCTGTTCACCCTCTGACGTCGTCCCGGTCTGTTTTTCGGGTCCACGTTCCTTATTTATTTTTAGTTTTCAGTCTATTGTTTGTCGTCAGTTATGTGTCTTATCTGTTACCGGGTTTGTCTTTTTTGGCAATGTTGCATGTCCACCGATGTCCAGATATTGTTCGAAAAAAGGTTTGAGTAGATTCGATACTACCGGACATAGAAAAATTGGTTGTTTTTTTTTTTCATGGAAAATTAAACTTTATATTAAAGAATACAAGACTGGCTCTCTTTTCTGTAAATAAAACTAAAAAGCTGACATGGGTTAAATTAAAGTGAGAAAACCAATCTCCCGGAATCAAATCATTTAAAAAGAAAAATCATGTTATGCCATACGACCTTTTATATTGAAGGGCTAAACTTTCATTAAGCCGTGTTCAGGCCCTTAAGTAGAAAATAAAGGGATATGGAGTAAATGTGCATGGGACAAAATCGCACACACTACATAGAAAAAGTACAAATTATCAATGAACAGGGTTTTTATTCCTGTTCTTCATCTTGACAGTCGCTTAAGGGTCTTCAACAATGAAAGAATCATTCATACCCTACAACAAGGTCAAGACGGCCCCTCGTGTAGACTTAAGCGGTACTTAAAGTATTGTACTGTGAATAAATTTCAAAGTCACAAAAAATTACACCAAAGTCTAAACACTAAAATACAAGGCCAGAACAGACAGATCCGACATTAATCAGCCGGTATAAAATGTAACAATGAGGCCTAAGAACAGTTTTCCTGAGTCTACCTTGAGTGTTCCCTTTCATCCCATTTAGGAACTACATCAAGCTGTTATTGAAATGCGTTATAAAATCTGAATTCACATAGTTAAATAAATGATAATCAGCCCCCTCTTAACTTGATTTGAAAAAAAAATAATTGACAGGTATAATACGTTTTCTGCAAGCCGAAACTCAATTAAAAAAAACAGCAGCCACACACTTAATTATGTAAAATACGATTTTTGCTTTATCCTACTTATCGGTCTTTTGATGTTGTCCCTAAAAACTAAGACTCTTACAATGAATCTATATATTTTGCTTTGAGACCAGAATATCGTCGAAAACATAATTAAAACAAAACTTTCGTTTCAGATTAAGAACGGATCCGAGAAACGCTCAGAATGCACAATTTTGCGTTATTTTTTCCAGAGCTTCCAGGCCCCTCGCCGAAATGTTTTTTGCATCGCTTCGCTCGGCGAATATATTTGGCCTGACTTTTAAAAGAGGCTAGTTACGGCCCTGGTAATAGAACATGTTTAGGCACATGCGTGCCGTTTTTTCTATCCCGATATTGCCGAAAATCAGTGAACCGTTACACATGTGTCAAATTACATAACTGATTACACTATCATATCTTTAAAAATAAAATAATTATTTGCATAAGAAAATAACCAGACATTAGATATGTTTACCATAAAAACACTTATAAGGATTTATTATTGTTTTGAAATCTTTTTTTTTTAATTCAACATCTATAGTTTAAATCTAAAGTATACATCGGTTAATTTAATGATAAGACATAGAAAATTGTTAAGTGTTTTTTCTTTTTAAAGTAAAGAAAAAAGTTTGTCCCTCCAAAATGATACCTTTAAAAACAAAATAATTATTTGCATAAGAAAATAACCAGACATTAGATATGTCTACCATAAAAACACTTATAAGGATTTATTATTGTTTTTAAATCTTTTTTTTTAATTCAACATCTATAGTTTAAATCTAAAGTATACATCGGTTAATTTAATGATAAGACATATAAAATTGTTACGTGTTTTTTTCTTTAAGTAAAGACAAATGTTTGTCCCTCCAAAAAAATAGCTCCTCCCCCCATAATTGTTCATTGCGTTAGTGGGGGCTAAATTTTGGAGACTGCCATAAACAACAGGAAGACGAACAGCAAACAGTTGATACAACATTTGATATGTATGACAGACGACGACGGACACAAACTGATTGTACTGAACAATTTCAACTACCACAAGATACCCTATGAATTTATTGACATAAGGAATATATTTCAGAACAATAACGAATTCAGCATGTATACTGTACAGACACCAGACACCAAGTGATGGATAAAATTGTTGCTTTTATTGCTTATTTCATTTTTTAGTGCAATATTTGATTGATTGATTGTTGGTTGCTTAACGTCCAGTGGAAAATATTTCATGCATATTCAGAACTAGAAGTCGTTTAAGAAATAGATTATGAAGTATTTAGTATTACAAAATTTAATGTTATAATTTTCTCATCATTTGGTAAAAGGATATTTTCTAAGCTGTTAAAATTTGTAAGAATCATAATTTTTTCTGACAAAATTATATCTTTTGCTCTAAATTAACACGTACGATTCTGAAAATAATAAGAACATTGCAACTTAAGTCTCGGGAATTATTTGTATATTAAGGCTTTTGAGCATAGAATATCAAATTCAATTATTGCCGACATTATGGTTTCATGTGTTACAAATAAATAACCAATTAAAAACAATAAGGTCTTTCCTAACGTAGTGGAAAGACCTTAATAATATACAATCATGACAACAATTACTTTTTGATAAAACAAATGTCGAACAATTACAAAAATAAATAAGTACAGTAAGAAGCCTCTGTAAACAAGTTTCAAACTCAGTGGCGTAGCTAAGCAATTTTTAAGTGTACGCCCGAACCTCGGCGAGGGGTTTGAGGGTCCCCAGCGGGTACAAGGCAAGGGAACTCCTAGCAGGGGTCGGACGGAAGCTAACGATTTATTAAGAGAGAGATACTATTTCTGTCATTAAAACTCATCAATAGCAACATACTAGTACTTTAAAGTCTAATTTCTTGATTTTTTCATGTATAATTTATTCAGTGTGTTGATTTGGAATCTAATGCAGTGGCGGATCCAGAACTTTTTGTAAGGGGGGCCCGCTGACTGACCTAAAAAGGGGGGGGGTGGGGCCGCTCCAGTCACGCTTCAGTGATAATCAACCAAATTTTTCCCACGAAAGGGGGGGGCGGGCCCCCCAGGGCCCCCCTGGATCCGCCTATGTAATGGCCAATAGTTGTTACTATGAAATATGATTAAAAGGAGATGTGGGGTAAAACAATCAATCGACCAAAGATCCAAACCTTTCGAAATATAAAAAAGCAAGTCTACATTTTCAATGGTGCCGTACTTTTGATTATTATGACTTAATCTAGTTTTATGCGCAAATTTCGTTAATGGACAAGTACACACAATAATAAATCTTCATAGATGGTCATGTGTGATATAAACATACTCAAAGGGTTCCGTGGAATCCCGTGTTTCGCCTGGGATTGCTGCTGTCGGTTAAACTATAAAAAGTGAATCCATTTATCAGTCAAATACAGGATTTAAAAGAAATCAAACTTTTCTTTAAATGTTTTTCTTGATCTTGGAAGATAAGCTTCTGTCCAAGTTTCATAACAATCTAAGAAAGTTTACAAATGTAGCAGGTGAAAAATATCTAATTCAAAACCGTCTGCTAATTGCCCCAAAAAATGGTAAAATACTGAAAAATGAAAAAAAAATAAATTATTTTGTAGACAGAAATTTGCTGACTGTTGTAAAAGTTTTGAAATCATTTAAAAATAAAGGAATATATCTCCCCCATGCAAAGCTCTGATTCTTTGTTGAAAACTAGTGGTTTTGATAAACCACAAGGACGCCACATGATTTTTTCAGTTTAATATAATCGCAATTCGTAATAACTCTGGAGCAAGTAATATAAAGTGGAAAAGCAAGCATTATGGTTTTTTTTTTATAGTTATGCAAAATTTACTCATATTTTTTAGTGAAACCATTTTGTATATATACGCATCGTTGTCGGAATAAAAATAAAATATATCTATTCCTTTTGTCTTGATACCTCTTTAATAAATAAACATTTTTACAAGCTGACGCACACCAAAGCCTTGCACCTATAGCAAATAACTTTGTCAAAAGAGAAATAAAACAAATTAAAGCAAAATGATTTGTCCTTTCAATCATTGTAAATAAGAACAAAACATTTGATTATACATATTTAGCACTAGTCTTTACAATTGTTAATTACTTAAAATAAAAAGATTATGATTGAATTTGTTTAATCAGTTGTTATGTGAGTTGGCTCGTGTCGATCGTTTCACTGATTTTCGGCAATATGAAAGAAAAAAAACCGACACGTGCTTAAACATTTTACTCGTTTGTTTGTGGTTCTTCTTTTTTTAAT